TCTAGATATAAAAAAAGAGAAAACTTGAAAATCATGTCCAGAAACAGCAGAATTAAATTACGGTACGTTCATGATAGAATTTCAGGTGACCATTTAAAACAGAGCATTTGGAAATGTTCACAGTGTAGTATTTTTTGAAAACTTAAGCACACAATCCAGTTTTGTTACGCATACAGAAAAATAATGGCATAAAAATGGGATTAAGAAATACTAATTTTTAAAGCTTAACATCTTTTTAACACTCTGTATTTTCCAAATTTCAAAAAATGACCATGCACTACTTTGATCCAAAGAAAAAAACCCTCATAATCTCTTTTTCAAATGATACGAAACAAACAGTGCTATTCCCCCTTTAGGGTTCAGTCAAGAACAGAACAGATGGTTGCTCTGCCCTAACTTTGACACTGGATCCACTCTCCATCTATTTCTTTAGAATGGAATATATCCCATGATTTATGCTAGGACATGTGGATGCAGTTTAATCAAGTTTAATCAGTGGTAGCCTGTCTGGACTGAAAAAAAAAAGTGTCTTTACAATTGCCCTTTACAACAATAGTACAAGTTTGGGATGCATGTTCCAGATTGTTTTCTGTGTCTCACCAGTATTTCAAATTGTTCTCTAAGAATGTACAATTTAAAAAAACAGCTAGGGATCAAACCATGCAGGCTGCACTGCATGTCAACATGCTAACATCCTTGCACTTACATTTCCTCGTTCTTTTAAATGGCTACACCTCATTCCATCAAGCTTTTTAAAAACTCTCTGTGAAAGTACTAGAAAAAAACCCAATGCAATTAAAGTTATTGCACATCCTCAAAAAGTTAGGTACCACGGCCTAGCAATTTCATTCCTAGTTATCCACCCAAGAGAAATACAAAATGTCCACACAAAAATCTGTACATGAATGTTCATAGGAGCGCCATTCACAACGGCCAAAAAAGTGGAAACAACCCAAACATTCATCAACGGAATGACAGATAAATAAAATGTGACATATCTATCCATATAATGGACAATCACTCAGTCATAAAAGAAGTACTGACTGATTCACACTACAACACAAACCTTGAAAACATCATACCAGATTAAAGAAGCCAGACACCAAAGGTTATATATTGCATGGTTCCTGAAATATTCAGAATAGGCAAATTTATAGGGACAGAGTAGATCAGTGGTTGCCAGGAGTTGATGGGATGGAGAGTGACTACTAATGAATAGGGGTTTCTTTTTGGAGGGATGAAAATGTTCTAAAATTGGTTGCGGTGGTGGCTGCACAACTCTGAATACACTAAAAACCACTGAATTGTACGCTTTAAATTGGTGAACTGTATCATTTGTGAATTATATCTCAATAAAGCTGCTACAAAAAGACTAAAAACAATAAAAGTATAATGCTCAAATCACACATGTTATATTCAATAAATGTTTGAGGGGATGAATACATTAATAACAAATACATATACCATAAAAAGCCACTGTGCAAATATCTTTGTCTTCCTTTGTACATAGTAGAAGCTCAGGAACTGTTGAGATAGACTGGCCAATGACACACACATGAATAAAAAGAAAGGGCTCAATGTTTAAAAAAAATTTGTTTTTACTGACAAAATGAGATTCACATTAAGAAATGCTACCCATACTTGTTTATTACCCACTTCATCTCCCTCTTAAAACACTTTTCCCAGGTCAGGATTGAACCACAGCCCACATTTCAAACTGCTAAGTGGGTAACTTACAGCAGACAGTGCACAGAAGCAACTGTACACCATGCTGGTTCGATTATTAATAAGTTCACTGCAATTTCTAGGGACCTTAACGTTATCTCAGTTAAAAATCACATTCCTTTTAAGTCACTACTGGCCAGTTTGTCTACTGATAATATTTTATTAATTTAAGAGGACTTATTTGCATTTGGAATTATGGGCATGCCAACTTCTTGCTCAATTATCTCCCCAGTTTATTCACTCAAGGAATATTTTAGCTGCTCTTCTAGGTGCTGAGGACACAATAGAGAATAAAAATAGGCAAAGCCAAGTAAACCAAACTCTGCCCCATGAAGTTTACATTTTAGTTAAAAAATAATTTTAAAAAACTTAGTTTTTTTAACAAACTCATGTCTTACATATTAAATAAAATGTCAGTACCAGCAAAGAATCCCCACAACTTTCATCTTGCAAACATTCACTCTTTTCTAAACACTAAAAAATTTACGAAGATTTATGAAACAGCAGCAGTTTTCAATAACAAGCTTTTCTTTTCTTTTTATAAATTTGCCAGGAACATAAATACAAACACGGCTACAAGATTATTCAAAATCAGAATTTGAAACTTCACATCCACACAATCGTGACTGACAGCAGGCTGTCAGAGCATATTTAACAGCCAGGGTCTTCAAATCATTGAGATACAAATGGTTTTTGCTTAAAGTTAAAAAAAAAAAAAACAACTCCAATCTCCTCCTAGAATTCATAAATCTCAAGTCATTCAATAACCTGAATTGTGTAACATTAAAATATTGCATCCTCTCCACCTCCAAAAGCAAAAGTGCAATTTAGTACAAAGATCACAACAACTGGCTCAAAAGGGTAACTTTTGGAAACAAAGTCTAAATTCCTTTAAACAATTCAATAATTTAGTGGAAATTTTACAAAGTGGCCAATGATTCTCTTAAGCTAGGGAAGATAGCCATATAGGCACCTCAGAACAGTCAACCGATCTTTAAAATGCAGCCACTTTCACGTTCTTTCATCTACAGACTAAATTATTTAGCTTCAACAATTAGGCTGGGGCTGAATTCTAGCAAGATTCACACAGGTGAGCTCAATGTCCTTCAGGGTCAGACCAACTAAAACCATCTTAAATGACATTCACTCCATAGCTTAAGCCCTTAGAAACTGTTTCCTACCAAGGTTAAGATAAGATACATAGTGAATAACACGGAAGCAATGCATTGTTTCAGATCACGCTTTTCCTTTTCGGGAAAAAGGAGAGGTTTATCCTCCTCAGGTTGAAGATTCTGAGAAGGAGTTGATTATCTACAACGTCTTGGTTCAAAGATAAACCCCAGCCAAATTAAACCATAATGAATGTATTACACACTGGCAACATCATAAAACAGATCGTGCCAACCAAAAACTTCTTGAAATTGGAAACACATTCATAAATCCTGTTGAGTATCCCTTTCTTTACAACCTCCAAGGACTAAACTCCAAGGACTAACAATTTAAGGAACCTGACAACCCCATGCATAAAAATCTCCCAACCATTATTACAGTACCAAAGACTTATGGGCTTAGAGGTACCTTTAGACTTCGTTTTTTGTAAACACCGACAGGTAGAGCTCTCTCGAAGGTAAGCAAAGACATTTCAATTCTCATTAGGTAGAGTCTCCAAGAGGTCACTTTTTGCATCCAACACACACATAAAAATGAACCCAAGGACCAAGACCATTAACCCCATCAGGCTGCACAAAACATTAAATGGGTAAACAAGCAAATAAAAACAACACTTCAAAAAACAATGCGTGGCATTGAGTAAAAGGGAGGTTAGCCACTCAGCAAAAGCACATGACTCATCCACGGGCCTGAACAGAAGTATTTATCCTATCCACTATACCAAAGTGGGATTTCCCATCTTCATCCAAGGCTAGGCCTTGGGGGTATCGGCGAAGTTGTGCTATTTCCGTTTGGAGGGGGGGAATCATTTTATTTCGCTGAATCACAACTCCTCCACATCCCCACCCAAAACCACCACCACGCACAAGACTGCAAATAGACCAGGCCATGGCAAGGACGCCTGCGAGCACCGACCGAGCAAAACAAAGCGCCCAGTGAGGGGCTGCCAGGCTGGGAGTGGGTGGGTAAAGGGGGCCAGGCTCACCCCTCTGAGTACCGCTCCCGCCCTCAAGGGTCTGTCTCCAGGCAGGTGTGCAGCTGCAGCCTCCTCCCTCCACTTGGGGGTCAGCCTCGTCCTCCGCAGAGCTCCAGGGACAGCCCGGAAGATGAGGAAATCAGGGCGGGGGTGCGCTGCCCCGGCCGGGGCAAGAGGACCCAGGAGCCAGAGGAAGAGCGCGCAGGGCCCGTCCCACAAGAG